TTGATACATATGCGAGTTGAAGAACCGATCAATCTCTTCGTAAGAGAAACATCGAAGGGGCTAGGCGAGATTCGGGTCGGTCTCGTACCCGACTGAGAGATCCGAAAAAAATCAAGATCGCTGGCGACGAACAAAACCGTGATGGATTCGAATCAGAGTCGGGTGGGTGGAGCAAGGACTAGAAAGAACAATCAGTTTACGGGTCGGGTTAGGTTAGGTTAGATCTGAACAAATACAATTGTCTTGTTAAGTAGAAATAAAGTACACCTAACAGCACAAACTTCAATCCGTCAGAAGTGGTAGACTCCCCTTCAGTTACGACTCCCACCTAGTTAGAATCCTTTGTGTTCCATTTAAAATTCCAATAAATTAAAACGACATCGTTTTGGGCGAGTTCATTAAGAAAAAAAATTTAATTATAACAAAACTTGCGAAGTATCTACCAGTAGCTCAACGATGCGATTCCAATCAGTCGTGTATTTGGAAGTGAGTAGATTGCAGACTAATTTTTCCCATATTTCCTCCGAGTAGGTACACGTGAAATAGAGATGATTCCAAGATTCGATGTTACCTTGACAGAGAATGCAAGAGCCTGTAGCACCTATGTTCCACATAATCATACGATCCCCCGTAGATAATCTGTCATGACTCAGCTAGCCACGAGTGAAAAGCATATTTAGGTGTAGCATATGAGTACCATATCCCCTTCCACCACAACGTGAGAGGCTTGACCTCGCGTACCAGTTTCCACGTTGCTTTTGAGTCAACATTTGGTTGAAAACTTGTCCAATTTCCGCTTCCATAAAACCACATCTGCTCCAGATAAAACCCCTTTGCTCCGTTGTTCTTGAATTACCTCTTCGATAATGTTGTACACATAGAATCGTTGGTGTTTTCGTCTATGTGTTTTTAGTGCCAAATCAACCGCCGAGTGAATAGGAATTCCCAAGTCAATGCATCCCCTTATGCCTGCAATATCAATCTGCCTACCTCTCGTAGACCATACATCGTACCAAAAGGAGGTTGAACCACCGTTTCTTACTTCCACTCGTAAAAAGTACCAAAATCTAGCCATTTACTCTAGGTTAGAAGAAGCAGCAAGAATGAAGGTGAAGGATCGATAGTTTTTTTTTTTTTTTGCCGACAAAGTATTTTGATTGATATGGCCTAATGGCTTACAAAAGGTTTAAAAAAATTATATGAAATTTGGCCCATGAAATGAGATCTCAAGCTGCAAATTGTACTCTCTCCACGTAGAAACATCTAGACAAAGTAAAAGAAACCATCGAACCTAGAAGCTTCCTTGTTTCCTCCGATGAAATCTTTTCCAGTTTTTGATCATAACATTGAAATCCAACAACAAGTCCTAAAACCTTCCTCCAAACTTCAATCACCAAAAATACTTGATCTAAGATGCTGAATCATCTAATTAAACGTGGAAACCTTGAAAAAGGAGAACATAATCTAAGGAAATTGGCGCACGAGATTTGTCTCTAATCTCTCACAGAATTCTCAAAAACACCACTTCTCAGTCCCACAATAGACACGTTACATATCGCATAAAGACCCAACTTTGAGAAACAACGATTTACGCTATGAGGAAAAAAAATCATGGATGCCATGAAACAGATCCCAAACAAGAGCAAACAGATTAAAACATAAAGCAACTATAGGAAGGACAAGACAAACAAATTAAACACATAAAATCTGAACCAAGTCAAAAAAGATATTTGAACATATGATAGTAGTGTTTATACAGGGTAGGCGTTGCATGTATAATACATTCCCAAAAGACTTAGGAGATAACGTCGAATCTAAAAAATTTCAACTTTTTCTAGAGAGGCAATTGACCGATTGGGGGTATAGGTAATCGACCGATTGCCTCTAAATATCGAGGTCATCTAAATCTTCGTATGTGCAATCAACCAACTAATCATGAACTAATTGGGTTTCTATTCTTCTGCTTGCTTTAACTCGAGCATAGATCGACAATCTTAAGTAATAAGAACATTGCATAAATTGCAATGTTGAATTTGCATATGACATGAAAATAAATGCTAGTATTCCAAACTATCTTGTGGTAAAATTTGTGCTTGGTCAAATAGTGTGAAAATCTCCATATGATGATGTGATACATTTGGCGTTCAAAAGCTATCCAATATCTAAGTTGCTTGTTTTGCATCTTTTTGAAAAAACTCTAAAAACTAAGAAGAAAAATACTAAAATATGCAACACTTTGCCACCTGGGTTTTCTTGGCTTCATTTGCCATATATGCAACACTTCATTCTCCGTTGCCACATGATCTCATTCAAACGAAAAGTATATAACTTTACATCTTTGAAAATAAGGATGCTCTCAACATGAGAGTATTGTGATTGAAATATATAAGAATCATCGGGTTTTTCTCTTATTTCCCAATAGTAGTGCAATTATTCAAATTAGTAATTTAGTTTTGCAAATTCGGCCAGTATTGTTTAGACCGTAAAAGCTTTGTTGTCACTATATATGTGAAGTCTTTGGCCGTGGTTGAGAAATCAATTGAAAACAATTTATCATATTCTTTATTAATCTCTTCGGTTATCGTTCATCATCATCCTCATCCATCACCGATTCAGGATCCCTCCAAGTGATTTTTCTTCCTCTCTGATCACTTTCTAGCTTATTTTATTTTTGCTAAATGGTAAACATTCATTATAAATGAACATGTTTAGATTTTACAAAATGGCTACCAATTTGCTTAACCTACCTAAATTGTCCCATGCCCAAAAAAAGAACTAAAAGACATGGAAGCATATTCAATCGTTAGATCGACCGATATAACCGTGAGGCTAATGGTACCAGATCAAAGCGATAAAGACTTGCGATCAAAAGCTATAGGTAAGCGGTTAGACGATAACAAGAAAAATGGATTGAGAATTATATAACTGTCTACTACGACCCGGAAGATGTTTCAAAGGAGGTCCGGGAGATAGACATTCTATCTAGAAAGTATCTGATCTCGTGCTCAAGATCGGCCTCTGAATCGATGAGCCAATAGGAAAACCAACAAAACCACAACACATCGCCAGAACCACGCAAACTATATGGAGTCAAGGTAAAGTCGTGCCCACCTTATATAATTTGAGGCATTGGCCTTAAGGCCACTTTGATATTACAAAATTTTAGGACCCCAAACTTTTTTAAAATAAATTATATATTTTTTTCATAGTAATTTTAGTTTGATATCATTATCCACACTAATTTTGAATTTCAAAATTTTTTATAGCACTACTTTTGGGCCCCAAATTTTTTTTGCCTTGGACCTCTGAAACTCTAGGAACGGATCTAAATCAAGGTACAATAATCCAGAAAAGTGTTCGATCGCCGCGCATAAATGATGAGATCCTCCCAAGGATATGCACTCTAGAGTCGGTA